ATGTGAGGGTGAGCCGCCTCTTTAAAGGGCTGCTATGAATGAGAGTGTGTGAACAGCAGTGTGAGTGTGTGTGTTTGTGTGTGTGTGTGGGTGTGTGTGTGTGTGTGTGTGTGTGTGTGCGACTCACCTTTCTCGCTCTCCATGAATCTCCCGTAGTCGCTCTTGCAGTGTTGCGTCTCGGTGTGCGCTGGCTCCTCCTCATCCTCCTCTTCCTCCTTCCACAGCTCTTCATCCTCCGGAAAGGAGCGCGCGTCCCTGCGGAACCTGAGACAGCGCAGCACAGTCAGTGTGTGTGTGTGTGTGTGTGTGTGTGTTCCTTTAGTTGTTTTTCATTAGTGTGTGTGTGTGTGTTGCTGCTCATCATGCTGTGTGTATTCACGCTCTGCGCTGGACTGTAGACCTGCTCTCAGCTCCTGTATTCAGCAGTCTGTTGTAGTTCTTCAGAGCAGCAGTGCGCCCACACACACACACACACACACACACACACAGACACACACACACAGACACACACACACAGACACACACACACAGACACACACACACAGACACACACACACACACACACACACAGACACACACACACAGACACACACACACAGACACACACACACACAGACACACACACACACAGACACACACACACACAGACACACACACACACACACACACACACCTCATATCTAGACCGAAACACCCAGGAGTTCACACAGAATGCATTTGCTCTGTACACAGCGAGATGGAAAGCGGGGAAATGACACTTGCGTCAGGCTGAAATGCCATTCGTGTCGTGCCCTGCGCCGGGGGTGTGACGGGGCCCTCAGTGTCGCCTTTAGCATTTAGCATTATATTTAAGAGCTCTGAATGAGGGATCCAGCACACAGCAGCCCGACACCGGCAGAACTCAAGCTCACTTTAGCAGACGAGTCTACATCTCACACCTACTCGAGGCCTTAAACCCCTCTACACTGACTTATCATCTAACACGAGGACAGCCTGATGTTTATCTTGTGTATCTGATATGTCAGTCTGTTTCATTATATTCATTTCATCATGCATGACTACAGCTGACCTCTGCTCGCCCGCTGATGCAGATCAGTGTATGGCCGTGGGCACACTGAGCCTGAGACAGCACCGTTTCCCCATTCTCATGTAAAATACACGGTGGACAACGGGCCAATCAGAAGACAAAACAAACTGCAACAATGCTCACGGGCCACGCCCTCCTCATTTGCATGTATGCATACTTTAGGTCATTCATCCGGACCTGACGGGCAGCCATCATCAAGAGAAGACGACTGCTGCGGCTCTGGTCATGAATCTGCAGGCCTCGCGCTGCGTTTGAGGAGACAGACGTTCTCTAGAGACACAGCAGTGATCACGTTCCCCTTTAGCCATTACAAGTGTTCATTTCACTGACCTTTTATTTTGTAATGTAATGTATTGGTCACGTCAGCAACAAGGATATTATCATGCCAAGAACATGTCATTAATAAATATACAATTAAAAACAGCAAACAAATGAATAAATAAGATGTTTAGTGTTAATACAGGATGGGAATTATACACTTCTCCTGGAGTCACTGTGCTAAGAGAGAGATCAGCAGTCCTCTGGCCTCATGTAAAGCAGGACAGTGCAGTGCCGTGTGTTTTACAGTAAGGGGAGCCGTGCAGCACAAACATGAGTGGGTCTTCATCTTTCAGCAGAAAGGCATGGCTTACTCTGCTTAAACCCTTAAAATGTCCTCATATTGAGGTTGGACTTCATGGTTCATCATCTTCCAGTGCACCCCACTCCTCCTGCCACTTGTTTAAAATGTCAGTGTTGATAAAGGCCTCATCTCTGGAGGAGTCCGGCATGCGTCTCAACTACTGTGTGTTCAGCAGCTGCATCAGCCTCAAACTGTTTACCGTCATGCTGACCTCAGGAAAATGCAGGATATACAGATTACACACGCGCTGATCTCCAGCCTGAAGAGGCGTGCGCTGTGTTCAGCTGCAGCTTTGGCTAATTTATGGTGTTTATTGTAAACCGAATGCGTATGCAGCTTCATAACACAACACCTCACCAGTCTCCTCTGACAGGTTTGACTACAGTTCAGCCTTTATCCACAGCAGATGTGGTGACTGGGTTTCTATTGTCTGTGTTATTGTGTCCTCCTGTCAGGGTTTGTGTTCAGTTAGTTTGGCTGTAGTGTTTTGACAACCACCGAAACAGTGACAACACCCCGATTATCCTGTAATGGAGATATGCCGCATCGCCCTGCTGGTGTGTGTGTGTGTGTATGTGCTCTGACCTGCTGAGGCCGCGGCTCTGGCGCTCCTGCTCCTGCTCGTATCTCCCCTTCAGGCCCTTGAAGGTCTGCACATACTGGATGGACTGCAGCGCGCTCTGGAAGTTCTCCACAATGTGTGCAGTGAGCGAGCGGATGTCCTCCTG